GGATTTCAATTTTCAAATTTCCCGCCAGTCGCTGTTACTAAAAATAGCTGCTGTATATAAATATACTAAAAATACGGCGCGCGCTTCTTCTCTTATAATAGCGTTATTATAAAGCGAATAACTTCTAAAAAACTGAAATTTGACGGAAATAATTTAATTTCTTGTATTTTTTTATTCATTTTATAAAGTTTTATGACACCATCACATTTCCCTGAGTAGAAGTAAACAATTTGTTAGCCATTTGACCCTCAGCTGACAGAGAAGGAAGTTTTTGAAAACAAAGTAATAAAGCGATTAGCAGTTTGTTGTTTTTCACAGTGGAGGACTAGTAAGTCTGTATAATAGACTCTAGTAAGACTTATTAGANTCAATCGTTGATTAGTCCTGGGTTGAATCGTTAATGGGTCTTCACAAAGTTCCTTCGAACGTTGAACCGGGTTTTTAGTATCACAAAGTTCCTTCGAACGTTGTCGGCGTAGTCCCTTCGAACAGCGAGTTCCTGGTAGCGACTTATCCGTTTTTCTGTTATGATGCACAGTGCGCACTAATTTCCAGAGACTGACTCTTCCGTCTCGACCCCTCCTTTTTATAAAGGGGGTCTCTTTGGGTTTTTTCCACTGCCTTATTAGGACTGTTCTTTCTTCTCTGACCAATAGTCGTTTTCGAGATTTCGGGTGACACATTCGATGTATCATACTTGACAAGGAACTAAGTTCGTGGGAAAAGATTTTTATGTCTTTTTTTTATAGCAGTTTGAAGTTAGATTTTTTTCTTTTCCTCCCTTAATAAAAATTTTATTTAACGAATTTATTCACTAAACTCGACTCTCACATTATCCCGGCCTTTCCAAAATCGAGCTTGTTCTCATTGGGCAAGCTGGATTTTTATATTAGGAGTTTTATATTAGGGTTACAATTTAAACAATTTTATTCTCTCTCTCTCTTATTTCATGGTATTTTTTTTCATCAGTTACATAGAAAATTGGTAATTTATCCGATCGCGTTTTTAATCTGTTTCCGTAGAGGAAACAATTGATAAATTTTATCGCGATAAGAAAGTAACATTGAGGTTATACTCTCTCTCTCTCAGTTCCGTAATTATAGTAATAAAGGAAATTATAACAATAATTATTATATTCAATAACTAGTTTATTGATATATATATATGGAGTGGATATACAATCTAATTATTCAATAATATAAAATTCAGATTACAAATTAAATTCACAATAAAAGATTATAAGTTAGTTTTAATATAATGATGATAATATGATAATATATAGACAAATTAGGTATATAAAATTGGTATAGACAAGTAAATGTGGGATATACGTTTAATCTAATTAGGAGATGATGCTGAGGATCGTTGTTGTCTAGTTCCTCGTGGTGGAGGGTGTCTAACCCATGCAATTGTAGTAGGATTGGTAGGTGCAAAGGTTGGATCGGTATTAACAGTAGTAGTAGTAGTAATAATAGGTGAGGTAACAGGAACTGAAGGTTGAACGATGGTAGTTGCAGGTTGATTTAGGGAATTGGTTCTCCTTTGTTCAGTATAGGCTTCCGTTTGACGGAGTTCCTCTTGGAAGGCCGCCTCTTCAGAAGAGGGACAAGAGTACCCCAATGGTAGAATTATAGTGACTGGCATGTTGTTCCTGGTTCGTTGACCTCGAGAGAACGTTATGGCGGATTGGAGAGAGGAGCTTCTTACTTCTCGTCGTTCTAATTGTCTTTCAGAAGAAGTGGAATCCGTCTCCCACCATTCGAAGTCAGACTCGGCCATCTGTGAAATTAATTATTTAAATGAGAGATTGTGAGGGTGCATTTAAAATTGTTCCCATCACAAAAGAGCTGAAGTGTTGATTCGAGGAGTTCTAAAACTGGTATAGTAGTGGTAGTAGGGTACTCGGGTTCGAAGTGTATAGATGTCCAACGGAGATGAATTCCCCCTCGGCGAAAATTGATAATGCAATTAAATTTAGAAGTTGTTGTGAAGGGCGGTAATATTTGTGTCTGGAAAGTATAGCTGGGTCTAAACAAATTCTGTTTTTTGACGGTTATGAGGAACTGATGGTTAAAACATTTTAAGAGTGCGGCCCAAGTGACAGNAGAGATTTCGCACGAGTTTCTCTAGTACCAGTTCTTATGTGACGTCTTAAACAGCTGACGGAACGACAGACTTTTCCACAATATTTACACTAAAGTTTTTCTAGGTTCATCTGTTAAATTGAACTATAAAAAGAGTCATTATTAAATGCATTGAATAATTAGCAAAATGCACTAATTTATATTTTGATGACTTCGTAAACCATTATTCATCAAATTATGTTATGTTTTATAATTGATTTGGAGCTACAGAATGACGTGTACTCTAAATTTTCCAAAAATGTCTCATTTAACGTCCAAACAATTAACTTTGTTATTGAAAAAAGTATTTTCTCGATATTTACAGAAGATAACAGTAGAAGAAGCAGTTGCAATTTTCTTAGTTCGAATAAAACATAATTTATTATATAACCTTAAGTTATGATTTCTTCTTTAGGGTATAATGAATGAACTAAGAAGAAATATCTGCGAAAAAGTAAAAATTGCTATTTTAAAAGAAATACTCCAGATTGATATTTCATTGTGTGGAATTAAATCAAGACAAAAGTCAAAGAAGTCAAAGACAAAAGGTAGAAAGAAGTTGTTTATGGCCCGTGTTTTATACATAAATCTTATGAAGCTGGAATTGAAAATGAATATGAATGGAAATTTGATGTCGGGCTATTTGGTACCTCTCTGTCAAACTTAATTTATGTGTTTAGTAAAATACAAACAAATGTGCAAATATCGATAAGTGATAAATATCAAAAATTATATTTTATACTAGATAAACAGAACGTTGTTTAGTTAAACTCTAACCTGGTAGATTTTTACTTGGGGGCATGCAAATCAGGTGTGCCAAAAAACTTTGCTTGGAATTTAAAATAATATATTAGATTGATAACCGGCACGACTCTAATGCTAAACAGAAAAGTATGATACACAGAGGCGAAACACTGCTAATTTGAAGTGGAAAGCGTATATTATAAATTAAAAAGTTATTTAAAATATTAACAAAAACTGCAGCTCGGCATTGTGACCACGTCACTGTAAATAATTTCTTGTTTTATGTGTATGAGCACGTGTTCGAGAGAAAATTTTAAAGGATGAGATCAAGATTATAAACAATTCACTATTATAAGCACATATTTATTTTACTTAAAGTTATCAAATAAATAAATTGAAATTCGTAAATAGTAAAACGATGGTGACTTGCACGATTCGATTGTATTTATTTGTTTTTGTTATTAATAATACANTCGCAATAGCTATCTACAATCGGTTAATTAGCATATCAACTTTTTACCGGTTACCCGTATTTCTGAGAGAGAGCTCACATATATTTCGTGCGAGGATAAATACCTTAAGTTCAATCGTTGATTAGTCCTGGGTTGAATCGTTAATGGGTCTTCACAAAGTTCCTTCGAACGTTGAACCGGGTTTTTAGTATCACAAAGTTCCTTCGAACGTTGTCGGCGTAGTCCCTTCGAACAGCGAGTTCCTGGTAGCGACTTATCCGTTTTTCTGTTATGATGCACAGTGCGCACTAATTTCCAGAGACTGACTCTTCCGTCTCGACCCCTCCTTTTTATAAAGGGGGTCTCTTTGGGTTTTTTCCACTGCCTTATTAGGACTGTTCTTTCTTCTCTGACCAATAGTCGTTTTCGAGATTTCGGGTGACACATTCGATGTATCATACTTGACAAGGAACTAAGTTCGTGGGAAAAGATTTTTATGTCTTTTTTTTATAGCAGTTTGAAGTTAGATTTTTTTCTTTTCCTCCCTTAATAAAAATTTTATTTAACGAATTTATTCACTAAACTCGACTCTCACATTATCCCGGCCTTTCCAAAATCGAGCTTGTTCTCATTGGGCAAGCTGGATTTTTATATTAGGAGTTTTATATTAGGGTTACAATTTAAACAATTTTATTCTCTCTCTCTCTTATTTCATGGTATTTTTTTTCATCAGTTACATAGAAAATTGGTAATTTATCCGATCGCGTTTTTAATCTGTTTCCGTAGAGGAAACAATTGATAAATTTTATCGCGATAAGAAAGTAACATTGAGGTTATACTCTCTCTCTCTCAGTTCCGTAATTATAGTAATAAAGGAAATTATAACAATAATTATTATATTCAATAACTAGTTTATTGATATATATATATGGAGTGGATATACAATCTAATTATTCAATAATATAAAATTCAGATTACAAATTAAATTCACAATAAAAGATTATAAGTTAGTTTTAATATAATGATGATAATATGATAATATATAGACAAATTAGGTATATAAAATTGGTATAGACAAGTAAATGTGGGATATACGTTTAATCTAATTAGGAGATGATGCTGAGGATCGTTGTTGTCTAGTTCCTCGTGGTGGAGGGTGTCTAACCCATGCAATTGTAGTAGGATTGGTAGGTGCAAAGGTTGGATCGGTATTAACAGTAGTAGTAGTAGTAATAATAGGTGAGGTAACAGGAACTGAAGGTTGAACGATGGTAGTTGCAGGTTGATTTAGGGAATTGGTTCTCCTTTGTTCAGTATAGGCTTCCGTTTGACGGAGTTCCTCTTGGAAGGCCGCCTCTTCAGAAGAGGGACAAGAGTACCCCAATGGTAGAATTATAGTGACTGGCATGTTGTTCCTGGTTCGTTGACCTCGAGAGAACGTTATGGCGGATTGGAGAGAGGAGCTTCTTACTTCTCGTCGTTCTAATTGTCTTTCAGAAGAAGTGGAATCCGTCTCCCACCATTCGAAGTCAGACTCGGCCATCTGTGAAATTAATTATTTAAATGAGAGATTGTGAGGGTGCATTTAAAATTGTTCCCATCACAAAAGAGCTGAAGTGTTGATTCGAGGAGTTCTAAAACTGGTATAGTAGTGGTAGTAGGGTACTCGGGTTCGAAGTGTATAGATGTCCAACGGAGATGAATTCCCCCTCGGCGAAAATTGATAATGCAATTAAATTTAGAAGTTGTTGTGAAGGGCGGTAATATTTGTGTCTGGAAAGTATAGCTGGGTCTAAACAAATTCTGTTTTTTGACGGTTATGAGGAACTGATGGTTAAAACATTTTAAGAGTGCGGCCCAAGTGACAGGGGCATTAATTTGAGTATCGACCCCAAGGAACAATAAGGTGTTTCCGGTTACAATAGGAATATGATGAGCTTGTATGAGATGGGACTCGAGGTTAGTTGCCCCTCCTGTCCAAGTACATTGGTCCTTGTCAACAGGACATACAATTGGTCGGAAGCGACAGTTTCTTTCGTGTTCTTCTCTGACACTGGATGGAAGAATTTCCGGACAACCCAAAGGTTGGTTAGAACAGGGAGCTTCCAATGTTTGAACTATTTGCTCTGCAAATAAACATCGAATATACCCAAGAGTCTCTCTGCAAGTGGGACATTGAGTAATTCGTTCTCGGCATTGGTAACATACAATGTGACCATTAGAACACTGGTATATGGGGGGTTGTACCAGCGTATAACAGATGGGACATGTTGACATTTCCACCAAAGCTGGATTGGATCTTTCGGTTGAAGTCATAACAGTCAGGTAAATGTAAGGAGGTCCAGGTAGAGGGGTCTGTAAAGAAGAGAGTTGAAATCAGATGTGTTAAAGGATGATATTCTTTGAAATATTCTTGATTATATACTTGATGATGACATTAAAGTTGAGGGGTTAATATTACATAATTGGAGTTCGATCCTCGGAAGGTGGAGGAGTGGTTGATCGGTAAGGAGTATCATGAGGAATTTCGGTTAAGTTTATAGTCGGATGTCATCTAAGCCTAGGTGATTGAGGGGTTCTTTGATAACATCGATGAATGACATAAGAAAGGCCTGCTATTCCTATAATAGAGACAATTACAATCACTGCAATAAGAGTTGGGGATAGTGGTACGGTATATGACGGTTTAATATTCTGACGAGTCGAAAGAAGTTGTTCCAAATCGATCTCCATTTGGGCTAGAGAGTTGTCAGCTCGTAAAATATCAATATCTGATTGATGATTAAAGGTTGAGTCAGTAGTTGATTTCTTTGTTAGTTGAGTATAAATGATGTTTAGCTCCGTCTCATTAATAATATTTTTTATAGAGGGAATAACGTAGTGGTGAATATTCTCAATTTGAATGGTCGTTTTTCTTTGGAAATGAGATGTTAAAATTATTCCAGGAAGGTATCCCATACATGTTTCCGGAAGAATTAATACACCAGTGTTATTTATCTTGCTAATTGAGATAGGGGTTTCTTTCCGTTGATTGGAAGAACATTTGATAGTTAAACTCATTGGTGTAGGTACTGAATAAATCCATGTTCCTTGATTATCTATACGTCGGAAGATGGGTGAATAAGATTGAATAAGACGTCGTGGACATAATTGGTTAATAGATTTTTCATTGCCTACATATAGCGAGTATTCGCAGCTTTGTCTAGGTGATTGCCATATAGGAACAGTAGGTGAGCATACAGCGATTGGTGTTGTTTGGCATTTGGTTAACTCATGATGTTGTAATAACATATAGGACTGTCGATTTCTAGACAAGGCAATTAAGGGATATGAATTATTATAATAAACAAAGGCTCTTATAGTAGGATAATATACTGGTAATCGAACTATCTCATAAATATCAAAATAGCCTGTAGGTGTAACGAGAGGAATTTTAGCAAAAATACGTAATTGCTGTGGTAATGCTATAGCTGTGATAGAAGTCCATTGATAGTACTTAAACATAGTCTCCAATCGTGGTGTTTCCAAGAAAGCATATCCCTCTGGCAAGTGCAATTGTATTTCCTTTAGAGTTTTGAACATCAACTCCTTCGGAAGAAAATAAGTGCTGAGTCGTCCTTGCTCTAGAGTTTCAATAGCATTTCGGATTTCAAGTATTTGTGTTCGAAATTCTCGTATAGAAAATTCCGTTGATCGAGTTGCCGCTTCAAAGGCAAGATTAAACTGATTTCGAGCTAAGGTTTCTTCTATAAGTGTTTGTTTTTGAATTAGAGATTGAATTTGATTTCGATTGTTCTTTGCAATTCGCAAAGTATCGTTAAGTAGAGTTGCTTGAGATTGGAGAAGGTGTATATATTCCTCATTGGTTTCGGATAATTGTGTGATTCGTTCATTTAGGATTTCGAGGTCTTCTGTTGTAGCAGCTCCGAACAGATATTTTAAAAGTTTACCTCCTGCGTCTATTAATCCTCGTTTTCCTCGGGTAACATTNCATATTTCTTGGTGTTAGCTTTTGGTCACGTGATCGTTCTATATTTATCAACTTCGTGGGAGATTTTCAGCATTGATCTGTTTCATATCTAATTTGCATATTTGTGATAGTGCATTACTAATCTTTATTAAACAGATCTAGACATTTTATATTATTTAAAGTTGACTGGATTAATAAAATAATTATATAAAATTTTTAGTGTTTAGCAGGAAAGTTTCAATGCCACGTGACGTTACAGTCATCCCGTGGTTCGCGGGAGATTTTGCTCAGTGATCTTTTTCATATGTAATTTGCATAATTATAATGGTAAATTATTAATCTTTATTAAACAGATTTACTTATTGTGTATTAATTAAATTCATCGGGTTTCATGGAAGAATTTTTCAAAACTTTTAGCGTTTATTCAGAAAAATTTATCCCTTGGTCACGTGAGGAGTATTTTCAGTCCTGTAAGTTAGGATCTCTACTGATTTGATGCTATTACGTAAAATAACGTGAAATAAGAATACAAAGTTCAATTAGCAAATAGTCCCTTTATTAGGAAATTAATTTGTTTGTAGATTTTAGATAAAACTAAATGGATGTGAATATAGAAAGTATAGTCGACCCCCCTATAAGATCATAGATACGTTCCATTCTTTAGGAATCTGATTTCTTACGAGTCCTTCCAATCATAGTTCGACACGTGTCAAGTTTACGGACTATGGCTGATTAAAAGGTTTTCTTCCATAAAATTAATCGATTCTAGACTAATCCGACTCAACATTTCCAAAATACGTATATATTTTTTGGAAATAATCCGTATAAACTANATTGAATAAGACGTCGTGGACATAATTGGTTAATAGATTTTTCATTGCCTACATATAGCGAGTATTCGCAGCTTTGTCTAGGTGATTGCCATATAGGAACAGTAGGTGAGCATACAGCGATTGGTGTTGTTTGGCATTTGGTTAACTCATGATGTTGTAATAACATATAGGACTGTCGATTTCTAGACAAGGCAATTAAGGGATATGAATTATTATAATAAACAAAGGCTCTTATAGTAGGATAATATACTGGTAATCGAACTATCTCATAAATATCAAAATAGCCTGTAGGTGTAACGAGAGGAATTTTAGCAAAAATACGTAATTGCTGTGGTAATGCTATAGCTGTGATAGAAGTCCATTGATAGTACTTAAACATAGTCTCCAATCGTGGTGTTTCCAAGAAAGCATATCCCTCTGGCAAGTGCAATTGTATTTCCTTTAGAGTTTTGAACATCAACTCCTTCGGAAGAAAATAAGTGCTGAGTCGTCCTTGCTCTAGAGTTTCAATAGCATTTCGGATTTCAAGTATTTGTGTTCGAAATTCTCGTATAGAAAATTCCGTTGATCGAGTTGCCGCTTCAAAGGCAAGATTAAACTGATTTCGAGCTAAGGTTTCTTCTATAAGTGTTTGTTTTTGAATTAGAGATTGAATTTGATTTCGATTGTTCTTTGCAATTCGCAAAGTATCGTTAAGTAGAGTTGCTTGAGATTGGAGAAGGTGTATATATTCCTCATTGGTTTCGGATAATTGTGTGATTCGTTCATTTAGGATTTCGAGGTCTTCTGTTGTAGCAGCTCCGAACAGATATTTTAAAAGTTTACCTCCTGCGTCTATTAATCCTCGTTTTCCTCGGGTAACATTGAGCGTGACTAGGGTTTTTAAATCATTATATTCTACTTCATATTCCATTAAAGTATCTTTTAGAAATTTAAATTCGTTAGCTGACAAAGTCCATCGGGATCCAAGGGAACTGCTGGAATCTCCCTTTCGTACCTGTCGTTGAACCAAGGTAGTTAAAAGTTGGACGTGTCGTTTTAATAGATGTAATTGCTCATCATATGGTTGAAAGGATATATCCAAAACAAGAATCCAATAATTCGTGGTCATAAAGAAGTTTCCCTGATGTACGAAGACAACACCTTTATATGCATTTGGAACTTCCTCCTCGGGTCTTGAATGAAGAGCATATAAGGCAGACAGGAGAAGGAGAACTCGTAACAAAAGTCGTAGTTGCATGACGTTGAGTCTCGTCACTCGGAGAACTCTGTATAAAGGGGGAAAGTTATTAGACGTCAGATGATGTAACAATTATAAATTTTAAATAGATTATAAATCGTTTATATAATTTATTCCTGTGAGGAGGATCGGCTAGTCGAAGGGGAAACAAATCTAGGAATCCTACTCCTTCGTGGAGGGGGAAGAATCCATGGTTGTTCCTCTACCGGCCCTTGACTTCTCAAGGCATAAGAATGAGAAGAAGGTTGTTCTCCTTCACTAAAGGATTCTATATCGTCCTCTTTCTCACTTTCAGAGTCAGATTCCGTTATTGATTCGGATTGTTGCGGTATTTCTGAGAAAATGAATTCGTCCCATGGGTCTAAATAAGAATGAGTTGAATTATCCTCTCTAGGAAGGGTATCCTGTTGGATTTGTATAGATGTAGAAGGTTGGGATATGGGTTCTTCTGATTCGAATTCTTGTCGGCTAACAGCATGCTTAAGACGGTTAGCATGGACTTGATGTCGTTTCTTAGTTATTATGTGCTCAATGATAAAAGTGACAGGACTCAATTGTGTTATGATTCGGAAAGGACCAGACCATCTTGGAGCTAACTTCCTTTTCAATCCCGGTTGCATGACTACTTCGTTTAGAAATACTCGATCGCCTACGTGATAAGTGGATATCTTATGAGTCTGCCGATGTCGTGTTTGTCGTTGTAAAGCAGCTTGCTCCGCATAATTTTTTGCTGTTTGATGAGCTTCAGCCATTCGGCATCTAAGTTCATAGGCATAATTATCCTCCGCGTCATATCTCGTTCGAGTAGGACTGGTGAGGAGGTCAAAAGGGTAGGTTGGATCTCTTCCATATAGCAAAAAGAATGGACTATCATTTGTTGAAGCGTGTGTAGTAGAGTTATAAGCGAATAGAGCATAAGGGATCCATTCGTCCCAATCTCGTTGATCCTTTGCGACATAATGTGAAATAATATCGATGAGGGTTTTATTAAATCTCTCTACTATCCCATTACAAGCAGGATGATATGCTGTGGTCAAAAGTCGTTTGATATGTAACAACTCACACACCTCCCTAAACATCTTCGATACTAGATTAGGTGCACGGTCGGTAAGCAATTGAACAGGAGTTGAATGTCTGAGGATAATATGGGTAACAAAAGCTTTAGCAATAGTTTTACTTCGGGTATCCGGTAGAGGTATAGCTTCAGCATAACGACTGAAATGATCCACAAAGACAAGTATATATTTATTTCCATTAGTTGTGATAGGCAATGGACCTACTATGTCCATGGCAGTTCGTTCGAA